GGCTGTATTATTATATATAATCTTAGACTTGATATTTATCACCATATCTGCAATATAAATTCACTACATCAAAACTAGAAAACTGCAGTTTTGACGTGTCAGAATGATGTTATAGATATCTACCCTCTAAGCAATGATTTTGTTGGATGGTAAATATAATCCATGAAAATCATTATTTCAAAATTACATATTAGGTAGCAAACTAGCTAGATTATAATGGGTAAATGCTACCTTTCAGTTCACAGTAGCTAATTAAACGCAAAAAAATCTCTAAAAATAAAATAAATGTAGGCAAAGATTTTAAACAAAGCAATGAGAACACGTATCAGGAAGTAACTGCCTTGCTTTCTATTCAATGACTGGATCCAATCTGCTGGTTCTCTTTGATAAAACCTTTGAACCAATCTATTTCCTCTATAAGGTGCCTGGAGATGATGCTTGTTACGTGTTCCTTAAAGGCATACTATGCAACTTTTTTTAGTTAATTAATGTGTTCCATAACGTTTTGGATGATTAAATGAGTAATTTCAGGTCGAACAAAGGTTTTCTCGGCCGCCCTGGTGGTCTGGAGGGGAAATACCGTACTTGCAATTGCAGGAGCCCTCGGCCCGCACCCACAGGCTCAGAAGTCTCGTGCGTCGCGAGAGTCGGTTTTGCTTTATGACGAGAACTGCTACACGCTCCCAGTGAAAGGCATGCTCGTTGCTAGCGCAGTGGCGATATTTGTGCAGTTATCATGGCGGAACCAGCGAGAATTTTCAAACTCGAAAATTGGAACAAAATAGTCACTTACCACAGTAGACATGGTGATTCGTTGCGTTCACCTGTCTGCTAAGCTCAAAACAACCACACCTGGCTTGACGGAGAAACCAGGAGAACAGCTGAGCATATTTACGACAGTGCACTTTTACTTTCGCCCTCTGGGGGGAGCCTCGCTGGAAAATCAACACCGGTTGCATAGTATACCTTTAAATCAAACTGTTAATTAAACATCATAATAAATCTCTAAAGATGGCAGATTATTTTTCCCTGTTTGAAAAGTCAGCGATCTTGTTTCAGACGGATAGTCAATCACATTCCAAACTGTTCAAAGAGCAGGGTAACAGCCTGATGATGGCGCAGTGTGCCACACGGCTGCCTTCCAACATGGAGGTCGAGTTTAACACCAGCCTGAGTTTTATCTGTATTGAAATGACTAAGTTTGAGTAGTTTTTCTTGGTTTGTTAGATACTGAAATTAGATATACTTTACTAATAAAATTGAGGTACATTTACTCAAACGGTTACCATAAAGTTTTTTTAGATGACCTCAACAGTTTTTATTTTTAAAGTTAAGGAAAGTAAATCCAGATAGTTAAACTTTCTGAATAAATGTTAAACAGCTTGCCATACCAGCTGATCTTTTGCGACAGGATGTTGAAATGTGAATCAACCAACGCTGGACGCACCACTGTAAAAACTTCGCTGCCTCCCAGTCTGCTGTGATCGTCCCTTTAGTGTTTGAGACGAGTTAATCTTTCTGTCCTACAGCTGAGCGTCTAAACCCTCACTGGTTACGTCACTTTGGTTTGTTCAAAGGAGGGACCTGACCTTAAAGCATGTTTCCTGTTTATGCAGAAAAAGATGAAAAGGCAGGTTTGGGTTCACATTTTTTCACTAAAATCTCAAACTCAGAGTGAGAGTTAAAGCCATTAAACACATCTACAAACCAGCTAAAAAAATATCCATCTATATATATATATATCTTATAGGAGTGCAGTGTTACTACATGAATGTTACAAATAAATAGCACTTTTTTTCAGTCACTTTTATGCTTTTACTGAGTGTCACTTCTAACCAGCTCTGAAGTTCTAGAGCTGCTCCTCAGAGTAAACATGAACCATTAATGATGAAATCAAACCAGGATACTGTTTATCAGACTAACCTGGATCTGGCGGAACTAAAACGGCAAAATAAGCAAACCAGAATGAACTGGTTGGACTCTTAGTGCAAGATGTGACGTCTTTCCTTTAAAGCTTCAGTAAACAGACAGAAATACATTCTCTAAGTTTCGCCATCTAGATGATGCAGTATTTATTTTTAACTGAACCAATGAAGTCATTCGGGTTGGTGGCTCCTTTCCTTTCCTACCTGCAGCCTGTTTTCTATTCCATTCATTCTGCTCTTTTGATTAATAAAGCAGCAGTTTGATCACATTTATTTCAGCATGTCCAAGTCAGCGCCCCTCTTAGTGGGGATGTTGTTGCTGAGTGAAGGAGAATAAGATTTATCTACCAGAAAGCAAAGTATTTAGACTACAGACAGACGCATCGGCCGGATGTATTTAAAGTAAGTCAGTTGCAAAAAGCAATTAATCTACTTATCCCATAATATTTACTCAATTTCTCTTCAAACAGTTGGTTATTTTCCTTCTCTTCAGGTGCCTCAGCATCTGTCCCCCCTCTCTATGTAGTGAGGAGTTAGCAATAGCATCCGGTAGCATGGCCTCGCTGCCGGCCTCAGAGAGCCCCATGGCTGAAGAGAAGAAGTCGGAGGCTGCTTACTACAAGAAACATCTATATCAACGCAGAGCTTTGTGTTTTTCTCAGATGCAACAGTCTTACAGAAGATTTTATACCGAATTAAAGCAAACTGAAAAATAAAAGTGTGTTACTTGAGAGGTTCTTTTTTTTTTTCATTTTAAATGCAGTGTTTACACATTTCCTATGATTGTTTCAGTCCTGGTAAGTTTATTTACACCTGACTATGAACTTGTTCAGTTTTATTGAATTTAATTTTTTCTTTTCTGTACAGACTAAATGTCCGTTTCATTTAACGTTTGTTTTTTGTTGATGATTTATCTGGGATATTTAAAAAAGTTTTCCAGTTCCAGTGTTTAATGTTCTCTAAAAATCTCTGAATGGGTGTGTTTGCATTTTTATATCTGTATTGCTTAAGGCAATAATTTTGCCTCAACTATTTATCTTTCAGAAGCAAAAAGGCCATTTAAAGAAAATGTTGATTTATATTATAAATGTATATTTCTGAGATATTTTTACTCTCTTTTGCATGTTGTGCATCTAAAACCTAAACATTCAGGTCTAAACGTCGGCAAAGAATCACTGCTAAAAGAAGCAGCACTTCACTTTGGATGCCTGTTCGCTTAAACCTGAGCATTTTTCTCACTCATTAACGAACCATCGAGGTTAAACCAAGCAGGGAAAATGAGATAAAGGAGCAACACAACAAAGAAAGCAGAACAAGCGTCGCCTCCAGCCTGTAAACTTAATGGAAATTCTCCTTTCCATTTCCAGGTTCCTCTCTTTGACTGATTACAAGTTTCTGCTCATCTGTTAGCATCTAAACGGTGGGCAGCTTTCCTTCTCCTATTTGATCAGAAATCTATTAGAAAAAGCCATCCAGCGGCGCCTGCCTGACGCCCAGTTTAAACTCCATGCTGGATTTTCTTCGCATCACCTTCATGTTCCTTCGTAAACCTTCCCAGCAGATAGAAATATGTAGACAAACTGATGAAGGAAGATCAATCTGATTATTTCCAAACAGATTAAAATAAACCGAGGCTTGTTGCTAGGCAGATTAGAGAACGTCTTCTGGAGCAGAGGGGATGAAAGTTTACAGATCAGAGAGCAGAGTCTGCCGACTCCAAAGCTGCTTCTCATCATTTGTAGGGATTTTTTTTTTCAGTTCTTCAATTTAATTCTATTAGAAACTGAAGTTTCTAATAGGGACAAACAAACTTTATTTCCTGTTGCCAAAGCAGCAGCTTAAAGGTTAAAGAGGCTGGTGATCACCATGGAAACCTATCACAAAGTAGAACTGAAACATGAAGAACTCAGGAAGTCAGAAACGCTGCAAAAAAAAAAGAAGCTACCCAGCTTCATTTTATCCAGACTAATCAAGGTGAACAAACACTAAAACAAAAAAATAACTCTCCTTTTATCACCTTCTATGGTGTTTAGTTCTCCACTCAACAGCGCTGTGGCTTAGACAGTTAAACCCAAACCATCGTTCAGGTTTCTCCTCACAGCCACTTCAGCAGAACCTGAACCTGAACCACCAACAGAAACTCAGCTGAACTGGAGCAGCATCAACACACACAAAAAAAAAAAAATCCCAACAAAAAAGTCTGATAATAATGAATCTAGAAATATCTATTTTAGGTCCGCATCTGATTTAAGGAGGAAACAAACAAAGGAAGGACAGGAGGAAGGTAGCAAGGATACGAAGGTGACTGAAGGAGGAAAAGGGAGGTCGGATAGAAGGTTGAATAGAAGGTAGACCAGAGGGAATAAAATAAAAAAAATCCTCTACTTTCTATATCCATCCACATCAGAAACAGAGAAATCAAAGCCTTTCTTCTCCCCAGACAGTGGAGGAAGCAACAATTCAGGAAGGGACCTGAAATCTCATTCAGAGCTACAATAAAAACATGAAGCCATGCTTTCATGAGTGGAAGCACAGTCAATGAGGAGCTACAGAACAGGCTGTGGTCTGCTAAGATAAGCAGCAGCAGCAGCAGCAGGCTTGTTCTACTGCTAATCCTGACGGAAGAGCCACTTCCTCAAAGCAGCCAGAGGGGGGCAGCAGAATCATCTGCTACAAACAGCTGAAATAAACAGCCTCCAGAGAGGCGACATGCTTCCTTCTCAGGATTATAGTTTGATGATAAAAAGCGTCTGAAAACACATAGAAACACTTCAAAGGAGCGTTTTCAACATGCTCCTCCCTCTGGAGGCTCCTCGCCGCTCTGCTGATGGATACACGCTTCAAGCAGACGGTCGGCTCTCTTTTTGCTTCAGTGAAACGTCAGCCACGCGGCCTGGAAGCGTTGCAGCTGGTTGCTAAACCACAGGAAAGCTGAACACAGATGACTAGAATTTCAGCAGCAAATATGTCGTCTCCAACGTTAAATAGTCTCAGTTTAAGTAGAATCACTATTATAATCCTACAGAGGAGGCATTATGATCAGCTTCAAGAGGTGGAAACATCCCCCCCCCCCCCCCCCCCCCCCCAGTGGTCTGAAATGATCTTCACTGCACCGTCTGGTAGAGGTAACCTCTTCTGTAGGCGCTCAGCGGGTAGAAGGTGGCCACCACGAAGCGCCCGTCGAAGGTGCGCCCCGTCAGCAGCCGCTGAGCTTCTTTGGAGTCGCTGGAGTTCGCATACTCAACAAACACCTGGAAGAGGGGGAGGATTTAAAGCAGGGGTAAAAATCAGCGGGGTCCGAATAAAGAAAATCGCCAACCAGTAAACCAGTTTTATACTGTTAAATATAGAAGATGCTAACTAGAAAATCACGTTTCTAGAGGGGGTTATGTGCAGAGCCCCTATGTGTTGCATACGCAGCATACCTACTTTTTGGCACTGTGTGTTCTCAGCTCACTGTTTAATTCTAAATGTATCCTAATGTATAAACTCTGATAAAATGCTTTCTGGAGTCTCACTGAACGGGCAGGAAATGCTCTTACCTGCCCTTTTCCAGGGTTCTCCTTAGGAATGAGCAGAGAAACCACAGAGCCGTACTTCTGGCACTCCTCCTTCATGTCCTCCAGTATGTCTGGGAAAAACACACAAAACTGCTTAGGTGTTCAGCTTCTTTTTCCATTTACTCTGGTAATAAACTGTTTTCCTACTTTAAATTAATCTAATTTGCTAAGATAACCTTAAAAACAATAAAACATTGAGGTCAAAACATTATGACCCCGGCAGGTAGAGGGAGGAAGAGTAATCTGTGGATTACTCTTCCTCCTTCTACTGCAGGGTTTCCTCATACAGTGTGAGCTCACGATGTTTGTTCTCACACTGTGTGGCTCAATGCTCTGATGCGATCTACCTGCTAACACTGTACAACTAAAAACCATGTGGTACTCAGCTCCGCAGTGAGATCGCGCTACTTGGGACTCGTTTATCCGGAAGCCAAACGAGTAGAACAGGAATATGCCTTGGGAATTTGTGCAATTTTGTGCTTAAACCGCTAAAAAGAAAAGGAGATGATGTATTTGGAGATGACACGGTTGAGCAAACATGGTTTCTACGGTCTGTCAATTTTACAGAAAGAACTTTATTCACTCGCACTCCCGCCATGCTTCTGTGTTTTCATCAGAGAAAGAAGAATCCTTGTTTGCCCATTGAGAGATTTTCCCACGACGGCCGACTGAATTTCAAACAAGTTTGATTTTCTCCCAACCTTACGATTCCTGATCGGGAGGTGATCCTGAGAGGCTGATCGCCCCTCGTTACCCCCTGTACACTACACCATGAACGATCAGGCTGAAAGTTGATTGAAAAATTCTCACACGACTGGAGAGTCGGCCCGAAAAGGGCAAAAAAATCGTACAGTGTATGCCTGGCTTTATACACAAAATATGTTACATTGATTTAGCCCAAAATCTGGTGTTTAACTTAATTAACTTAACTTAGTCATTACAACGACTGAAAGATGCTTCAGTGTCACTTTAAACAGTCTTTTATGGAAGAAAAACAGTCTCATTGGAATCTGCCTTTTTTTAAACGCTGAATTTTTTACACATTTAATTCCTTACACTGAATTTTTATCTGGTAAAAATTCACCTGCAAAAAAAAAAAAAAAAAAATTTTCAAAATGCAAATGTGTTGACCTATCTGGTCAACACAAAGCAATCTACACTTCATGCTCTTGAGCAGCTTCTAGCCAATGAAATTAGCTCATTTGATCACATGACACAACAGTTGAATATGTAAAATTCAACATGTAAAAATATTCCGTGAAGGGTTCCTACAGCATAAGGCAAGTTAAATTCAAGACTTTTTAAGACTTTTTAATGCCACTTGAAATAAAAATTTAAGACCAAATTCACAAGAAACACAAGAAAAACCTGCTTGCGACAACTTAACCCAAAGGTTTATTTTAACATAAACCACTGCACTAATGTTTCAAATGTTGAAAAACTTCCCATACAGGAAGAAAGCTAAAAACACACAAATGACAGATATATTTTAACAATTATTTAACTGAATTCACAAACTTTGTTTTAGCAGGGAACAAAACAAATCAGTTTTAAAGCCACAACATAACCAGTGCTAAGTCTTTTTTGCAGCTATTTTTCTTTGTATTGTTTTCTTAGTATGTTTGATTTGGTGATAAGTGGAGGCGTTGCAGAGACAAGGGTGGAACTAAACTGAGAAATACCGGCTGTTTCTCGGTAACTCCATTTTGACGCTTTGTGTTTCGCGCTTCGCATGTGCGACTCCACTGCCTTAATTCCCATCGTTCTGAGCTTGAATCGCTTCTTGCACAAAATCCACTGAGCCTCATGTATGTTCCCTGGTTTTAGCCGTGGAGAAAACTCTTGGCTGGAGACAATTTTGGTTACATTTATACTTGCTCATATTTTCCAGACAAAAAGTAAATGCAGCATCTCCCAAATGTCCCGGCAGCAACAACGCTTTTCTTGGTTCCGCTATCGGGACGGAACCAATAATGGCGAGCCATTTTTTTTTTTATAAAAAAAAAAAAGAAATTGTCAATTTTAACGTTTTATTTAGATTACAAAAATAAATCGTAATAAAAATATATAAAATATAAAATCCTATTTATGATGTTTTAAAAATTAAGACCTACGAAAGACTGATTTAAGACATTTTAATACCAATTAAGGCCTTAGTTTTACAGTACGGCGAGCGTTACGGGACAAAATGTCTTCCACAACGTCCGCATCACCTACCTTCTCAAGTGATGAGGTTTGTTTACATAGATAATTTTACAGATAGTATTTCATTAGTCTGTGTAGGGTATAGATTTCATGTAGACTTAAGATAATAAATATACCCGTTATTTTTTCTACGTCGTTGTGACGTTTTGGTGAGCTGCTTTGCATGGTGATATAAACAGACGAAGTAATTGTAGTCATTAGTTTAACAGCGAGATTGTGTTCACTGGAAGAATATATATTCCCTGTTTACAGAGTCCAAGTCATGTTTGTGGCACGGGGGTTACAAGGTGAGGGAGAGGGCGAGGGCAGAGAGGCCTTGGTGGGTGTGCAGCTAGGGCCAGGCGAGGGAGGGGTGCCAGCGGGGTGAGAGCAGAGGAGGAAAGGCTTGAAGATCTCCAAAGGAGCCGGAGAGAAGTAACCGAGGTATATATCCAGAAAATTATTTTACAGAAAATTACTGAATCATTACCTGTGAAACGTCAGGGACGTTGCTGAATAAGTATACTGGAGAGTAACAGCATCATCACGCAGCATGTTATTGTTTTAGACAGGTCTGAGCATCCTGTACTCCAAAAACTGCAGTGATATTAGACAATTGTGTGTGTAGGATTAATTACCTGTCCAAGAGAAAACTGGCAACTTGAGCGTCCCTTTGAAAACCTTTTTCCTCCATCAGTGACTTCCATCGTGTAAATGCCGTGCCAATGTTGATCCGTGTTTTTTGTCGTTTCTTGTCACGCTTGCGTTTATTCTCGTCGTGTTTCCGCTCCTTAGATGACGGGGGTTCGGTGTCCGCCGCTTTTCGTTGTGATACAGAGTAGGCATGATCCTCCATTCGTCTGATGTTTGGCCACACAGTGCCAAACAGTTTGCAAAGTCACTCACGCCTGCCGCCTTGTTCACCTTTCTTGTTACTGAAGCGCAGTATACCTGCTTCTTCTTCTTCTTTGGTTTCAGGCAGACTAAACGCTTCTCAGGCATAATACTGCCATCTACTGTTCAGTACCGTCTCAGTTCATCTCTCTCAACTTGCTGTAGTTATTTTCGAGCGTAATGGGCGATCTCTAGTTTGTTGGCTCTGCGCTGCCGTAGCGCAAAGATGTCTGCCTCCATGGCTGCGAGACCCGCTCCTATGTAATTATAAATAACGAATTCTAAGGCAACGCAAATATTATGGTTAAAAGGCTGAGCTCATAGGTGATGATAAATAACATAGTTATGTATAATATATTAAATTTCTGACTTTATATCCCTGTAATTATTACACACTGTAGCTTTAAGACTTTTTAAGGACCCGCGGGAACCCTGTCTGTGGTTAAAATTTAGAGCTAAGAAAATTCAGTGTTTAAGATTCTGTGTACGAAATAGAGGCAGATTCCAATGAGACTGTTTTTCTTCCACAGTCTTTCAATGGTAAAGTTTAATAAATGCTCTGCAGCTCTCAGATTTGTCTCTCTCTTTCTGAATGACAGCTGCCAGCTCCACAGTGGGAGCCTCCACTCCCACCAAACACAACTTATAATCTCTATAGTCCATTTCTGCTGTGGAACCAACTTCTTACTGCAGATGTTTTCCTTTAAGCTCATGAAGCATGAAAACACGCTACCTTCATACTCTTCCTCGTTGTGCAGGTGGCTGTCATCGATCAAGTTGAGCAGACGCAGAACCGGTGAAGGCAGCAGAACCAGATCCTCGATGTGTGGTGCTGAAACACACAGGCGCTCACAGGTTAAAAGAACAGGGAGGGAACTGCAGACGTGTTAAAGGTCTCCACCTACCGAAGGGGATGCTGAAGAAGGGGCTCAGCAGGGCAGCTTCAGCGGTGCATCTTTGCTTTGGATTGTTGAGTAACATGCTGGACACACAGAGTTCACTGCAGACGGTATGAAAGGACAGAGGCAGCGGCTAGAAGACCAGGCTTACCTTTTGATAAGGTCTCTGAGGTGGTAAACTGGGATGGCGGGGCATGTGGCGCCGTTACTCGCAAAGATGTGGTTGACGATGGCGACGCTGTTGTCCTGCAGGGCAGAAACAGAGGAGGTGAGATCTGAACGCATCGGGGTTATCAACAAACCGGGTCGAATTGGGTTCTGCATCAGTACCTTCCACTCCTGGGAGCGGACCGTGTCCTTCAGCTTGATTCCAGAGAACATCTCCAGCAGGATGACGCCCAGGCTCCAGAGGTCGATGGCAGCCGTGCAGCCAGAGTCTCCCTCCATCCCTGCCTGGGCCAGACTGTTCTGGAGCTCCGCCTCCGGGGCTCGGTACCCGTCTGTCTGGATGTACTTCACATCCTGACAAAGGAAGAGAGAATTTGAATGAACCCAAACGTCTTCCGGCCCATGTTCCATTTCCAACATAACTGCCAACCTGGTTTCCCTGCTTGAAGCTCAAGCCGAAGTCGATCAACTTGAAGCACTCGTCGTCGGCGCTCCACAGGATGTTGCGCGGTTTGAGGTCGGCGTGGACGTAACCTTCCCTGTGGAGGAAGGCGAGAGCCTCCAGGATGTCTCTGGCACAGTGCTGCACCAGCCACATGGAGTGGCCCTTCTGGGACCTGATCCAAAACCCCAGAGGACATATTTATGTAGATTTTATTTAAAACTACGATAAACTAAAAACTGTGTAAACATTAGGGGTGTAAATAATAATCGTTTTGTATCGATGCATCGATCCAACAGCCAATGATCCGATGCATCGATACGTCCGCAAGAGAATCGATTCATGTTTTTTTTTTCCTCCGGTCTATTTTTATCCATTTGCTCCTGGGCGTAATTCTCCCTCCCGTGCTGCGGTGGCGCTGAACCTATTTTGCCCTCCTACTTCGCTTCCTGGTTATACTCTTACAGCAGTGTGTTGCAGTGAGCTTGACACAGACATTTTTGATTTATGCTCAATATTGAAGCGTGGTCTGCGCTACACGCTGTGGGTCTAGATACGGCCGAGGCGGCGAGGAAGTGGGGGCGAGTTTAGTCCGACGACGGAGGGACATGAGGGCCAAAAAGAGCGGAGATACAGGTGGAAAAATGATCCCAGCGTTCTCGCGCACCTCGCTCTTCTAGCGGGTCAAACTTCACGAGTTGTTTTCTGCAATTTCGGTCATAAAAACAAAACAAGCCGACCTCCTGTCTGCGGTCAGCTACAATTTGGGAGAGGAGCAGCGGAGCGTCTGCGGAGGGGACGGGACGTCTGGAGCCGAGGTATTGCATTGCACTCATTGCACTGATTCTGTGCAGTATTTTTTTGATGCAAAGCCTTTCAGAATCTATAACGCAGGGGTATTATTATTTTTCAGTGAATGAGGTTTTAATAGGAATAGGTGGGGGGCAACTTTTCTACTTCTGTTATTTGCTGTAGTTTCTCAAAAAAATGCAACGATATTACAGCTTTCATTGATTTATTTCAAATTTGAAACATTGTCTAGCCTTTAAGGTAAAAAAAAAAATAAAATAAAAAAATTAACCAATTAATCTAATCGAATCGTATCGTGATGTATTCTTGAGTATCGAAAATAATCGAATCGTTGGGCCAGGAAATCGATACTTAATCGAATTGCCATGATGGATGTGATTTACACCCCTAAGTAAACATCCATTGTTTCATGAACTCATTTCATTCATTATTTGCTTGCATGATGGGATGAAATAACAGAAATGCTTTTGAAATCATCATGAAGCTTTTCTAGAAATAAATCCATTGAAAACATGAAGATAACCTTCAGGGTAGAACCGCCTCACTGGGACATTCTGTCATCAGCGGCGGCGCTTACCTCCCAGTGTACTGTACTGGAGAGGTACAATGCTGAAAATAAGTGTAACATTTTGAGTTTTATACCAAGAGCCAGCTCTCTAGCCAAGGATCAGAGGGCCAAGTTCCCCACCCTTGACTGCCACCCGTCACACATTGCACCCGACCCCTTTGTCCCCCCCTAAGAGTAGTGATGTTTCCTCTTTGGGCTGTGCGCCGAGGCTCCATGGGTAAAAGCCCAGCCACCAGGGAACACTAGGTCCATTTGTGTTACTGACCATAAGAGGTCCTTATGCATCTCTTTGTCTGTTCCCTCACCTAGGACCTTTCTGCCTTGGGTGACCCTACTAGGGGCATAAAGCCCTCAGAGAGCATAGCTAAAGGCTGATTTATATTGAGAAACCAGGCCGTCTGCGTGAGTGTCGCAGTGAACACAAATTTGCCCCCGTCCTTCCGCAGACACTCTGCTGCACCTCTCCCAAGCTGTAGGTGACCGCAAACAGTGCCACAGACAGGAGGCCTCTGATTGGTCCAATCTACATCTGCTCTACACTATGAGTATTTCCTGTTTGGTACCTTATGGGCTTGTTTTTTTTGTATGACAGCCATTGTGGAAAACGACTGGTGAGGATGGACCAGCTATAAGAGGGAGGTGTGCGGGAACGCTGGGACCCTTTTTCCACCTGGATCCCCGCTCTTTTTGGCCCTCATGTCCCTCCGTTGTCGGACAAACTTGCCTCCACTTCCTCACCGCCTCGGCCGGATCTAGACCCAGTTTGTTCATGATTGTCCCGTTTGCGTTGTGGCGTGGAATAACATATCGCAGACCACGCTTTAATATTGGGCCTACATCAAAAATATCTGCGACAAACTCACTGTGACACACTGCTGCGAGAGGATAACCAGGCCTTAAGGTCATTGGGACACTCCACCACGATAGGGTGGGTAGATGGATGGATGGATGGACGGACGGATGGATGTTGCGTTTTCCTGAAGTGAAATTGTGTTCTTATCCTCTACAATTGTAATTATTTGTGACTTTTGCACATTAATGTTCCATTTGCTTTTTAAAGTGTTTTTCCGCTCCTTTTTTTAAACATTTTTGTTCACACTCATTTCTGTGTAATCTAGCTCTACTGGAGAGGTTCTATTTCTTTCTGTTTATGAAGCAAATAGATTTATATCTGGTTTGAATTCACTTTTTCAGATTAAGCTCAGAAAGAGCAGGTTCCAAAATGCTGTTTGAGACGGTGTTGAAAATAAATGTTAACATTTTGTATTTTCCTGAAGTTTTTTTTAATTTCTCTACAATGGTAAAAGTAGTTATGCTTAAATTTTGTTACTCGCATGTTTTGATATTAGTTTGTATTGGTATCAGCTTTTATCGGAAATCAGAACTTCAGTTTTTGGAATATCGACGTATCAGATATCAGCAAAAAAGACAACATCGTGCATCCCTACCTCCCACCCTTGACGCCGCTGCTGCGTCTCACCAGCAGCTCCGACACGCTCACATCCAGGAGCTCCAGCAGGAGGCAGCGGGTGGCGACGCCCACACAGCTGTGGTTGGTGAATACGCCGTACAGCGTAACTGAGAGACAAGAGAAAAAATGTATAGAAGCATTCAACGCATTTTCCAACACAAACCCGACATGGTTGAAATAAAAGGCCTTTTCTATTAAAATCATTTCTAATTCATCCTATTGACAATCAGTTGTGCTTAGAAGGAAACAAAGTCACGTTTAAATGATTTTATCTCAATCAAATTGGTGAGTTCCTAGAAAATCAGCATCATCAAAGCCTGTCTGCAGACGGCTCAGGGATGACATTTTTAGAAACCTAATGAATCTCGCAGAGCTCTCGTCAGAAAAAAAACCTGATGCATCACTGTAGAGCTAATTGAAGAGGTCAGGCAGGAACATCGCCAGTCAGAGAAGGATTTGAGACGTGCATTAAAGCACTGGAAGAAAACTGCAAGAAAAGACGTAAGAGAAGAACATAAAGAGAAGAAAGAAGCTGCTCCTTTAGATGAGAACAAAAACGTACTTTTCTGCGGAGACGCAATTAAGCTTTGCATTGGAAAACTGACACTGAAGATATATCATCCAATTAAACATGGAGGAGGCAGCATGATGCTGAGGGGACAAGAAAGCTGGGAAATAGTAGACTCTTATAAGTACCCAGGTGTTCATCTGAATAACAAACTGGACTGGCCTCACAACACTGAGGCTCTGTAGAAGAAAAGTCAGAGCAAACTCTTTCTGCTGAGGAGACTGAGGTCTTCTGGAGTGCAGGGGGCACTCCTAAAGACCTTCTATGACTCTGTGTGGCATCCGCCATTTCTATGGAGCAGTGGCTTATCTGTAACTAATGCTATGTTCACACCGCAGCCTGAAGTGACCCAAATCAGATTTTTTTGGCCCATATGCAACCTGTATCTGATCTTTTCATGAGTGTCTGAATAACACAGATCCGATTTTTTCCAGTGCGACCCAGGCCACTTGGCTATGTGGTCCTGAATCCGATCTTTTCAAATTCGACCTGCATCTGAACGGCCAGGTCGCATTCATCCGACCCGAACTCCAATAATACCCGACAAAGGTCACTATTCTGGGTCTTGCTATGAAGAAGCGGCAAGAAAAACAACAAACATGGCAGACGGTGATGCAGGGAGCAGTATTTATGTTTAACTATCTTGTGTTGAGAAAAGATTGCTAGATGCACTCCGGCACTCCCATCATGTCTACTTCCATAAACACAGAGCACGCTGGCCTGTAACGTCATTGCATCCTCTACTACGCATGCGGGACACTTACGTTTTATGACTGCAGTTCGCACAGGAGGTCACATACAAGTCGGATTTCACAAAAAAATCGGAAATGAGCATCAAGGCCTGCAGTGTGAACTTAGCCTAAGAGAAATCAGCTGGATAAGCTGATCAGGAAGGCCAGCTCTGTGATTGGATGCCCTCTGGACTCAGTGCAGGAGGTAGGAAACAAAAGGATCCAAACTAAATTAACATCTCTGTTGGATAATGTTTCCCATGCTGGAGAGCTCCTTCATTGAGAGAGTGCTGCACCCTAAATGCAACAGGGAGCGTTATCACAGATCCTTCTTTCCAGCAGCTGTAAGACTCTAGAACCACCACTGTTCCCAACATCCTCGATAAGTTGTTGATATCATGCTGATTTTGCACAGTTTCTACCTTAGAACGTTAAATAACATGCTGCTGTCATTTTGCACATCTCTGATGTTGCTGCTATTTGCAAATATCCATTACTGTAAAAATTTACATTGCTGTATATTGGTTCTTTATTTACCAAGTGCACAGTTTATATTGTTAAAACACTTTACAGTACAGTATTTTATGTGTTTATCTTTTAACTCTTCACTATTATGTCATTCTTATACATTTCTCTAAGGTCCATATTTGTGTGACCATTTTTTTCTATAACCTTTTTGCTGCTGTAAACCAGGACTTCCCTATTGTGGGACAATAAAGGGATTTTCTATTCTCTTCTATTCCATTTGTGACAGCCAAGGCCGCCTTTATTGTGGAGAGACTGCTCCTCTGGTTTGTGCTTCCAGAAAGTCGGTGGCGGACCTGAGAGTATCACACCTGCAGTGGCCTCCTATAAATTGGACCAGAGAACATGGCTTGCTCTCTCTGCGCTCCATGGACTCCTCTGGCCTCCTGCTCCAGTTTTAGTTTAATTTGATCCATGTACACTTTCACACACCTCATGCACCCCAACAATACATACACCACTGACCTACACTAACACGTTTATTTACTTTAATAAATGGTTAAACCTTTCTTTTGTGCGGTCTCCCCATCATTGTTCCTACCCCCTGAGCTAGGATAGTAACATATTTTATAAATAAGGGAAGAAAAGCCTTCTAGATACTGTTTTTAAACCAGGGCAGATATTTTTGGTCCAGCCACATGACACAGTTGGGATGTACTAATTTGTGAGATCACTTGTTAAAATATTACTAAGCCTTGCTTATAGATTCATCCTATCAGAACTAACTGAGCTGAAGCATTTTTATAAGAAAAAACTAATAATTTAATTCTCTAGATGTAGAAATGTACCAGAACATCTGCTGCTGCAGCAAAAGCTGGTACTATGTGAACCCCCAAAGAGAAAATGGGGTTTAGGTTTTAATGATCAGTTTAAGAAGTTTGAATAAATGATCTGTAGGACAGAGAATCATGGACGGGGCATGTCCTGCAGAAAAGTGACTTATTACTGGAAACATTTGCAGAGAGCAAAGGCTGTTACCAATGTTCTTATGTCCCTGGATGTCCTCCAGCACAGCCCTCTCCTTGTGGTAGCCGTAGTCCCCTCCCTGGGAATCGGCCTGGAACTCCTTGACGGCCGCAGTGGCGGCTCTGCCGGAGCTCACCTGGTAAACAGAGGCCGAGACTCCCTGACCGAGCCGGCACTGGACGGTCCAGATCTCACCGAAGATCTCAAACAGCACCGGCCTCATGCTCTGGTCCACGCTGACACTTTCCGTGGGCTGGGCCTTGGAGCTCGGCTTGGGTGGGACGCAGTGAGCCATGGGAGGGAGAAGAAGGGGAGAGGAGGGGGAGGCAGCTAGTTGACAGGTGGGAGCAGCTGTGGGGGCATTGCGAGACCAGATCTATGTTCACCTTTAAAGTGCTACAAACTAAGAAGCACCTGGACGAGTCAAGGCCAGCGAGCACACAGCGGGGCTACATCCACAGGCCTGAGCGCGGAGGAATTAGGGGGCATATTAGGAGAAGGTTGGCTGTCAAAACGAGTCAGCTGACATAAAGTTAGCCAACTTAGCTACTGCAAATAGCCCCACTAGCCACCGATTTTAAGGACAGAAACACAGCGAATAACTTCCTCCATAATGACCGATAACTCCTCAAGGGAACAAATTTTGCTTAAATCTTCCGAAAAACTAGTGTTTCAGGTCGCAGTGAAGTTTCGCTGAAGTTGTAGATTCAGGTTGTTGATACTTTCGTTGATAACTTCCGTTACTGCTGCGCTTCGGTTACTGTGCATTCTGATAGTCTGCTCCCTTCCGGCGAGGGGCTGAACTACACCAGTCAGTGTCTTCTTCTTCTTCTTATGGGGTTTTATGGCGGTTGGCAGACTAGTGAATTGTGCATTACCGCCACCAACTGATATGGAGTAAAGCAAGAAAACAGAAAACGATTCACCCCCCCCCCCCCCCAAAAAAAAAAAAAAAAAAAAAAAAAAAAAAAAAAAAAAAAAAAAACCTGTGTAACTTAAACCAACATAATACTAAATCACATTTGCCCATATAATTTTTAATTTACTCTAGGTCATCTTAACTCTGCCAGTTTCTGATGGTCCCATCGGTCCTCCCATCATACTTCCAACCATCTCCCAGTTCAAATCTTTAATGTCCAGATATTTTTCTGCAGCCTTCACTATTATTTTGATTTTTTCCGTTTTTTTTGTTGTCTGTGCAGTACAATTAATTACTTCTACCATGAAAAGAACAAAATTTGTCTTTTTAACAATAAGTGAGTCTTCATCAATTTTTTGATTCTCTAGAGGTTTGGAATTTGCCGTGTGTTGAACTGTAGGTTTGGGTTTTTCTGACTGAGATGGGATCCTTTTTGCAGCTTCAGCGTAGGTTATTCCGAGCTCAAATTTCATTTTTTTAATTTCCTCAGACCTTTTGCTTGCTTCACAGCCGCGATAAGCAGCAGTATGTTCTCCACCACAATTACAGCATTTTATTATAGCTTCTTTTCCACATTTACCATATTCGTGTTCTCCTGCACACCTTCCACACCTCTGTTTCCCTTTACAAACTGCTGCAATGTGACCGAATTTTTGGCATTTGAAACATCTCAATGGTGGAGGATTGTAGATTTTGACATTATAGCTTATGTAACCGATGAATACTTTGCTTGGTAATTGCTCTTCCTCAAATTTAATTAGCACTGATAAACTGTCAGATCTTTCTCCGTTTCTTGTTGTTTTTAACCGTTTTACTTCTTTTACTTTTGCACCGCTTATGTTTTCCAGAATCTCTTTTTCAGAAATTTTTAGAGGAACTCCTCCAATGACTCCCCTGCTGATCTTTTTGTTCTCCATTAGGCTGCACTGAACTCTTATCCCGTCAATTTTGTTGATCCGTATTGCTTTGCCTTGCTGGGCGCTGTCTCTGCAGTTAATTAGCAGGTCTCCACTGTACAGAATTCTGGCACCTCTGACTTCTCCGACAAGTTTATTGATGGTTTTTGTTAAGTGAACCGGATTCCAATTTGTAAAAGAGTCTGCCTGATTAACGACTTTGAATATGACTTTGAATTCATTTTGTTGTGCTGTGGAATGTATGGAATGATCATCACTGGATTGTTCTGAACTAGATTCCCCTTGAACTGATCTCTGTTTTTTCCGCTTTTTCTCATTTTTTGATGTTGCTATCTTCCACCCTTCATTGTCACTATTTCCCTCTTCCATCCCACAAGAATCGCTTCCTGTTTCCTCACTACTCACGGCCCAAGACATTTCTCCATAAGCAGCTTCAAAACACGCGCCATGCACCAAACGACCATCCACATCCGACCGACTCCCCTTTCAAGTTCCTTCCACCAGTCAGTGTCTCAAACCATAGACATTCTATATGCATAATAGACGTCGCATCGATCGCTTTCGCCTATGGGCTCAGATGTGACTTGGTGGCGCCATTTTGGAGCGGTCAACAGCTCCACTCAGTGTAATCTGTTGAGCAGGCACAGAATCAAATTTCATCAACTTTAACTCGCCGAATATTGAAATAATTTTTACGTTTTTGTTTTTTTTTTGCTAAATACAAACAAATTGGTCAGTGTATTTAACTGTTCTTAGTAGGGCAAGAGTGATAGAATATTCTGATAGGATGTATGTTTGTTGCAAAGCATAGCCAATCATACATTTTTATGTATTATATCATATATATATATATATATATATATATATATATATATATATATATATATATATATATATATTTATTTTATTTTTTTCATATTCTGTCTTAGGCTGCAATCTGAACTCGGTGGAGGAAGTGTTTGTAAAAAAGAAGAGTGCTACTGCAGGTCATTTATCCCTGCTGCAACCAGACTCTACAATGCGACATTACAATTGCAATAAATTGTGCAAAGTATAATGTGCTATTACTATTCGATACCCTGTACAATAAGCTGTTTCTTTTCTTTTTTTTTACAGTGTCCTGGCAATGTGGCAATAAGAATAATTGTCTTGATGCCAAAAAGAGCCCAACAGATTTTACTTTCACAAGTTGTTTCATGCATAGAAATTGCTTTATTATAATTATGCAGGGAGTTTTACAGTTTATATGGACACTGCAATGTAAATAGAGCAGAAAAAACAGAAGAAGAAAAAGAAAAAAAAAGAAAAAAAAGATGAAAGAAAGAAGAGATAGAAAGGAGATAATGACAAAACATTTTCAGTCTGCTTCATCACTTGTAACAAGATGAAAAAAGAACAGCACAACCGAAAGACATTGTACGAGACAAACAATAAAGCAACACCTTGAAACTATCGCTAAAGTAATATTATTAAGTCTGACATGTACTCTGTGTTACCTGAAGATATGAATGTGGGGTTTCTGTACACAAAAAGATGTTTCTCTATATTTGATATCCAGTGCAATAAGTATATATATATATATATATATATATATATATATATATATATATATATATATATATATATATATATATATATATATATATATATATATATATATATATATATATATATATAGTTTTGGGGAGAATGTGACAAAAATTAGAAGATAAATTGTTTTATTATGTGAGGGTTTGGGGTTTAATTATTTCACTGCCACCTACTGACTTGTCAGCATATAATTAAGTTAATGTTTTGTACTTCGACTGGATAGAAGTGGCTCTAATGTGAAGCACTTCAAGTTGTCAATATGACAAAAAAAACAACGTTGATCCAAGCGTGAAAATTATATATATATATATATATATATATATATATAGTACCCCACCCCATGCATCTTATTTTTTTTTTGACTATTTGAGCTCAGGTAACTGGTAAATTTCTCCACTGTGAGATCAATAAAGTGAATCAATCAGTCAAAGGATGGTTTTCAATTAGAATCCACTTAGTAAATGTTGCTCATGTCCATCTTTGCTAACAGACTTGTGTTTGATCCAGATCAGGAATAAATATTGGTTTCTGATTGTTATTTTTTTTTTTTTTTACCTAAATCTCACTATTTTTTTTACCTGTAGATAGATGTGCCATTTTTTTTTATTTTTTCTATGGTTATTTAACTTTTTTTTATATATCTTTTTATCATTATAAATACACTAATTAGTTTTGGTCAGTACACATTTAATTTCCAGTGTTGTCAGGATAATTTGTCCGGAAATGGAGGACGTGGCTCCCGGAAGAAGGAAGCATCCTCCGCATCAGGCTGCCTGCTGCTGTTCTGATCAGAAAGTGGCAGCAGCAGCTCTCCAGTGGAGGAGCTCAGCGGACAGGACCTGTGTTGTTGAAGGCAGAGCTGCTCTGCGGTGAGTGGAACGCCGCCATGTTTATGTTTGATCATTTTTATTGCTGACAGGCAGCAGTCATGCTCCTCTGCAGGAGTCTGGTAATAAACCAACTGTTACCTCGTTTTATCAATAGGGGCATTAGGACGGTGAGTGGGACATCCGTTCACTTTGCTGGTCTGTTTCATTTTTAGCCGTTAATGTTGAACAAAATGCGGCTAATAATCCTGGTTATGTAGGTGGAACCATTAGCCGGTTAGCTGCCTTTAGCTACTGAGGTGCCTCTTGGTTTGCATTTTATATTATAGCTGTAATCAATAGAGGCATAGAGGGTGGATTTGGAAACTCAATTCAATGTGAGCATTTTTTAAAAACATAAACAACTTGCAGTTAGCTAGCATTAGCTTACAGGAGAAACATTTACTACCTATAATGTCTCATTTGGTCACGCGCACCTGGCTCGCAGATTTTGCAGTCACGTGACAGAGCGGCGTTCTGTCAGACCAGTATACCTATGTCCGTCCCCTTTAGTTTTGTACGAAAAATTGTCTAAACTACCTTAACAGGTGTATGTTCATTTAGTCATTCAAAAAACAACAACATTCTAATTACTTATTTTTTGTTGTTTTTGAGGCGTATGGCGATTTTACCTTAATTTTTTTTCGTACATGACTACAGGGATACATACAACGACGGAGCATCAGGGCAAGGCTAGAGATTATTTTTTTCTTTAATTTCGAGAATAAAGTCCTAACATTGCGAGAATAAATATGTAATATTACGAGAATGAAGTCATCAACCGGTTTCAGAAAGTAAGCTTTGAGTTCCAACCAGCAGATTATGGCCGACCAGCTCCACCAATCAGCAACCTGAGTCCAATTTGACATCCTGCCCACTTTGATGCTGCTGCTAAAAGATTTAATTATTGGTCAAACCAGAGCCAAAAAATAACTTCACATGATGCTCCACATTCCTCATTTTAGGGAATAAAAGTTCTTCTTTTAGGAGTTGTCATAAAATACCACTTGTTTCTCATAGGTTTAGGACTTTATTCTTCTAATATTACGACTTTATTTTCATAATTTTACGATTTTATTCTTGTAACTTTACGACTTTATTCTCATAATTTTGCGACTTTATTCTCGTAATTTTGCGACTTTATTCTCGTAATTTTGCGACTTTATTCTCGTAATTTTGCGACTTTATTTTCGTAATTTTGCGACTTTAATCTCGTTATTTTACTATTTTATTCTCGTAATTTTACGGCTTTATTCTCATAATATTACGACTTCTCATAATATTACGACTTCTCATAATA